TGCCCAGGACCCAGCGCTGTTAAACACTCTTATCACCTCATCAGTCTTATCTCCTGCGATCCCTGCCAACATTTGGAGTCTGTCAATGGGAATGAGCGTGCACCTTAAAAGGTGCCACAAATGAACAGAAAGAAGAGGTGATGCAGGGGAAAGAACACCTTAAAATAAAGAGTGCATGTGCTATCCCTCCAAAGGGAAAGGTTAGTGTATATGTTTTCTGCTGTGCTTTTCACGCTTACGGTGTCTGTGCTTGGAGATGCGATTGACAGCACAGAGATGAGGTCTCGGTGTGGACCAGCACTCGAGGAGGTACGGAGGTCCTGTGCAGACCTCGCAGCTGGTGTGGAGGGCTGTCCAGCCCCAGCTTCATCACCGATATGGGGTCTAGCTGGACCAAAGTTCGCCCAGGTAACCAGCATGGTTTTGTTTTTCCTCTTTCTGTACTTGTGCTAAATAAAACATGTGAGATGGAGGAAGAGACGGTGTCTCCCTTAGGGCCACCCTCCTACTCGCAGAGTTTTCTGTACGCAGCTTGGAGAGCAAGTGAGGCGGGTCTGGAAGACCAATGTTTATATAACACTGTTTTAAAAACTGTCCGCTGTCACAGTTTCTGAAACCAGCACAGTCACACACTGGCACATCAAGGTCTGCTTGCCATAGCGAGGCAGGAGGAATCATGTTTTATAGCATGTGCAGCATCTCAGCAGGGCTCAGCCAAGCTGTTTCCATGTCTCTGCCCCTCAGTCCAGAAACCTTGTGTTAGGTTAAGCAGGGTACAGAAATTCCCAAGCAATGAACATGGGATGGCAACACTGATATAATCCTATCACTTATAAGACAAAATTGACATGCAGTAGCCATAGTACCACTTAACGGATAAGACAGTTGGTCCATCTGTGCTCGGTCCATCTTCTTTCATTTCTCTTGCTTAAATTTCTCAGGAGCAGAACAAAATCCTGTAATCCAATAAGTTACCCGCTGGTAGTTAGATTTTCATTGAGTGACATCTGTCACAGACCATGGATGTAAGAGGTACCAGTGATTTTGTAGCATCTTTGTTTTGGTGGCTTTGGTTGACATGGGCATTTGGTTTTATTTTTGAAGTATTTGGAAACACTCTCGTCTCCCTTGAAGGCCGTGCAGCTTGGCTGTCATCCTGCCATGGCCAGATGTGCCAGGAGGCTGTAAAAGGCACCAGGGATGGCACGCAGCATTAGGAGGCAAGAGGAAAGCTTGGAATCAATCTGTGGTTAGTCGGTAACTTGCATGTGTGGAACTGAGCACTCCTACATTTGAGTGTGTAATGGTCTTTCCTTCCTTTCTGGTTGCCTTCTGTCTGCCTATATGGGTCCTGCCATTTCCATGAGCTCCTCCTTTTTATAGACAGGGTATTGCTAAAAGGGCTCTGAAACAGGTACCTGCCAGTGCCTTGCAAGCCAAAAGCAAAGCTGTATGGAAACACGTATTACTGCTTTGAGCCTGGCCTTTTCCCCCTTTTGTGTTGAAGTTCACTGAATCAGAGCTCCGATTGCCTCCTTTTTAACCTGTCGCGTTGGCATTATTTTAGCTGATGTGTGATGTTGAAAGGGCATTTCTCGGAGGCATCCTGGCATAGAGCAGAGCTCAGCGTTGGCCCCAGAGCTGCCCATCTCTTCTTCTGCACTCCCTGACATCAGCTCCCCTATTGAGCGCCTTCTCTTTGTGCTCCTGTCATGCTACAGAAGCTCATATTGGGAAAAAAAAGTCTCTAATTTCTTGTAACATGCCTTAGCACAGAAATGATAATACACCATGATTCCCTAACTTCCCATAGGCACAGTTTGGAAATAACTGGTTACAGTATTCAGATTTTTGCATTATAGATTTATCAAATGATTGGTTTCAGTGTGTATCGACAGACTCTGGGTCTTGTTGTACTTGCAGCTCTGTATGATTTACAGTTCCGTAATCTGAAAGATAAATTGGAGAGAGAAGAAGTGAACAACCATGACAAACAGCCCCCTCCAATTCGGTGCTTTGTATAAAATAAACCAACAAGTATCCTGATGGGTTTCGATGGAGAAAAATTAGCTGGCCCCTCTTGCAAGCCAGATGAGTGAAACAGTCCATCTGATCACCGCCGGCATCTCTGCGTTCCTTCTGGCTGCAGAGGATGCGCTCCTGGCTGCGACATGGCAATCTGGTGCCAGCGATCCCAGGCTGGGCCGGTGCCATTTGCCGGTGCCCTGGGCAGGGTGCAGCGGGGTGAGGACAGAGGCTATGGCAGGCTGTCCCTGTATGCTCGCCGTTTGGGGTCATTCGTCCCAACAGAGGCACGTCCTGGGAGAAAGACATACCACACCTTGCCTAGGATGCTCCAGAAACCACTGCTTTCTGTCGCACATTGGGAAATATCCCTTGCATCAAGGCCAGCTACAATTCATCTTAAGACCACTTCTGCGCATCTTGTTTTGTTGTAAAACAAACATTTCCAGCACCTGGTAGGCGATATTCATCTCGCGTAATTTCCGCAATGGGAGCTGTAATCCTCACTTTCATGGCCCATCTTCGATTAGTTTCCAGGTGTGACCATATTGCGCTGAAGGCTCAGAGTTGCCGTACCTGAAGCAGAGCACTGTCCTCAGAGCAGCCGGGCACGTTGGGCTCCGATTAGCCATGGTGCTCTGAAAAGCCAAATCAAAGAGGGATTGAGATCAGCAGGCTCCAGAGGGCATTTCAAGGCCCTTAGTGAGTGGCCACACTAGAGCTTTTTCCATTTACCTGGATTAAAATTTGTCACAGAGAAAATAGAAGCAAATAGCATAGCATCTGAGAAGTATAACAAATAGCATTTGGCCAGCCGTCAGCCTCCAAGGGGAAAAAAATCCACAGCGTAAATAAAGTGTAAACAATGTTTGCATAACATTGGATTAATAGTTCTTTTTAAAAACCTCACTGGGATTAGGGAGATGCATTTCGTATGCCGGGACTTGCGCTCTCTTCTTAGCCCAATAAATGCCAGAAAGTACATCTAAGAGAAATAAAAAGCCTCGTTAGCCCAAAGCCTGCTGCTGAAGCAGCAGTGCTTTACGCAGGCCTTTGGAAGAGGAACAAGTGGCTGTAGTATTCCTGGAGCAGTCCTATGTATTTTATAAGGAGTTTTGCAGCAAAGCGTTCCCATGGAAAGGGATTTCTGCTGCACATCTCCAATCCCATTCACCTGCGGGTTTTCTCGGCTACAATTTTGAAGGCAGCGATGCAGAGGGGAGCTGGCTTCCCATCCCCCAGCACACACTCAACCCGCCTGTTTGAAAGCCTGCCTTTCCAATAACTCATTCATAGCGCTCCCGCCTCTTCTTCCCCAGCCCTGCTCCGTATTTTGCTGAAGTCAGTGCCGGCCCTGTCATTCCTCCGAGCAGGCACGTGCTTAAGGACCGCTCGGGGGCTCTGGATCAGATCGGTTACCTTATTAGTGTGGAATAATCAATGGATGCCGTCCTTGATTCCTTCAGTTCTTTGGTTTGCGGTATCTACTAATGACACCCATTTGCATGCTGCTCCCCACAATTTGGGCAGAAATAGGCTCCTGAAATGAGGTGCCTCCAAATGTTGGTGTGAGTGCCACGAATGGGGCACAGCGGCATGTGGAAGGAAAAATCTCCCCGACACACATTTTCCCCAGCAAAGACGTGAAATGGATGTTTAGGCAGCAGATGGCCTGTTACATCTGGCTTTTCTCTTTTGTCCCTGTTGCTCCTTTGGTTGAGTTGGTGCAATGTTCCAGAGCAAAGCGTGCACCTTCCACCCTGAAACACAAGTCGTTCCTAGTTCCTCAGCAGAATAGGGTTAATATCAAACAGAATAACAGGCTGGGAAACCAGAAGTCCCCAAACAGCAATGGGTGGGATTTCTACCTGTTTTCCTGTTCTTCTTTTCCCTTTCGCCTGCTCCAGAACCCACGGCAGGCTGTAGCATTTGCACCTTAATCCCAAAGACGACAGTAATTAAAAACTTAAGTCTCCATAAACAGATGCAAATAAATTAAGGAAGCAAAGAACTGAATTAGAGGCTAATCCTGGTGGGGTAGTGAAAGCAAAGGGACCAGTAATTCTTTCCTTCTGTTATTTCACCTGTTCTTGTGGCAGGACAAGGCTGCAGCACGGTGCGGTGCCTGGGTTTGCACTGCTGGGCATGCCACTTGAGCACTGACCACTCACTGGCAAAGCCCTGCCCGTGCTTGCCGAGTCTGGGAGTGGGACACGTTTTCCAAACCATTGCAGCTGATGCAGTGGTGTACATGTTAGCTTGAAGAGGGAGCTGTGTGCCGACATCTTCAAATCATGCAGTTTGCTCTGCCCTTGCACTGTAGGTGTTTCACAAGGATGAGTTCGGCAACCGGCTCTCATTCCCAAGCGTTGTGTGTAGCCCTTTCCTCACCCTCCTACAGCAGGGATGCCAGCAGCCCAACAGAAATTATGTGGGCTTTGGGTCCCCCTTTGTCCAGACCTGAATTCTGAAGAGCAAGGACCTAAGATTTATTCAACTGGAAGAAAAGTGTAGTTTTCCCCTGTGTGCTCCCATGTGCTGAAGAGTGCAGCGCACTGAGCTGTGCCAGCGTCCCGGTGCTTTACCCTTCTCTCAAGTAGCTAGCCAAGGCTGGGCTTGCACAGAAGCGTCTTGCACTACAGCATCAAGATTAGCGAGGGTCCCAAAGTAAAGCCATAGGACTGAAATCCTTCATTTTTATGGGCTGGAAGTGATAACGCTATGAACTGAATTATACTCATGTCATGACGTGATCCATGCACGCTTATGCATGGATAGGTATTGATTATCCATCAATATGGATTGATGGTGGATGATGATTCAAAGTCTGGCTGCCAGGTAGCTGGGTGTCCTGGGCTGTTTATCTAGTCAATTAAAATATTGCTGGGATTCAGCTTATTTATTTAAAACTGGGATTTACTTGTATCCCCACAACGTTACCTATACCTCTAAAATCAAGTCTCTCTCTTTTTCAGGATGGGGAAGGCCAGACTGCACTCCATTACGGTAAGCTGCCTTTCAGCTTGGTTTTTCCCTCTTAACAGGATGGATTTGCAGCTGGAGTAAATGGTCTACATACAGAAAGCAAATTTCAGCAGAAATATGAGCAGGGAAGCTGGATTTGAGTAACCAGCGGCTACCTCCACCGGCAAATCCCAGCACGGTATGAATAGGAGCCCTGAGAGAAGCAGCGAGGAAGACTGCTGTCCTCCCTTTGTTCTCCTCTGCAAATTTCACCTTAAAGCCTTCCTTTTCCCCCAATTAATGATGCACTTTCTGCAGAGTTTGTCCTGTGCGCCTGTGTGTCTTCAGGACACAGTTGTGCTACCTCCAGACCCGGGAGTGGCTCTGGTTAGGGGATGCTAAGTCCCTTAGCCATCGGGGGGTTGAGAGGAGGGTCTGTAGTGGCTTTAACAGGTTACGCAGGTGAGGGGAAGGGAATGAGCAAGATGGCCTTCACTTCCACGTGTCCTGGTGACAAACCTGTTTGATCGCAGCTGAGAGAGCAGCAGCTTCTCTACTACCAAAACCAGCGGAGTGAAGTTACGGTTTGTGTCCCTCCTACAATTACATGCTAATTAGATACGCGATTTTATAGCAATCTTTTTAATTGCAAGATTGTTCTATCTCCAAATGAGAAAAGTAGAGACTAAAGTGACACATGCGGTGCTGATGTGGGGGGAATAGGAAAAAAGTATCGATTTAATCTCTGTCATAATTTTTTCCAAAATTAAGACATACCCAGTTATTATTTTATACTCTCTCGATGCCTGTCACTGTGTAATTAAGAGCATACTTGTCATTCTGAAGTGTTTGTGTCTTTTTCTCTCTTATGATCTCTCCACAAGGACATTAGCAGGATGGCAAAATTGCTTTGCAGACCATCAGTCCAAGACACAGCATTTGGATCTGGATCTAAACTACTAGATTCCAGGGCCCCCGAGCCGAGACTGTAATTACAATAATGTATGATTTCTCCCCATGTGATCTTTCCTGTAGGATACTTTATTTTTCAAATTCTTATCGTTCTGATTGAAGTAGCAAATCTCTTGCTTAGTGCTGCAGTGTCCGCAGAATGACAGTACTCAATGCCACGTTGCCTCTTTCTCTGCCCAGCTCATTCCACATATTGGGCTTTCTCTCTCCTGGGGAGATGCTCTCCCATGCCCCCAACTCCGGCACTGACATCTGCCTACCGAGGGGTACACAGTGGATTATAGTAGGTTGTGCAAAAGCATAGCATGTGTGTAAGTTATCCAAGAGCACCTGCTTCAAGCAAGTCCAATATGTGAAGTAAAGGGTGGATGCGTCACCTCAATGTAAATTATTTGCAGGTGGATTCCTCTGGCTGGTGGCTGAAGCTGGTTGTTTAACACAAGCAAACAAATGTAACTGATTTAATTAACGTTATTTCAGAAAGAGTTTCTCTGATCCACCCTGCCAGCTCAGATGTTTCAATAATGACAGTTTGCCAGGGTTTTTTTCCCAAATGTTTTAAGCATTAAAACTTTTTCTTCTGCTTGAGTGTTATCACAGCTCTCCTCCTTGTAAGTCATCTTTGGGGAAGCCTCTCTGGGTCACTGGCACACAGGTCTGGTGTGCCCGTGGGTGCCCCGCTGTCGCTGGCTGACCATCGCCGCACCCAGGCTGTCCTCATTCCCTTACTTAGCTGATCTGGTCATAAATCACCCCGATCTTGAAAACAGCTTGTTAAATGAGTGAATGGTTTTGATTCAAGTGGCTATTTGCCTGAAACTAGAACTCACTGAAAATCTCACTATCTTGGTAAGCGCTTCGTAACCAAGCCGTTAATCGCAGCAGAGAGGCATGAGAGCTCGTCTGAAAACTGTCTCTGGCGGTGCTGAGCAGAGCAGTGCCTTTACAAGACCTTCCCTTTTGTTAGAGGCTGTTCAGGGAAGGGTTAAATCCAGTGAGCGAGGCCAGCAAGACAGCCACTGCTTTTAGGGTGTCTCCATCCCTTTTTATGAGCCAGCGTGGCCTGACAGCTGTCCTTGTGGTGACAGCTCTCCTGATTACAGCCGGTACCAAACTGCATCCTGCGGCGGGTTATAAATCCTGCCTCCTTCCGATCGGCGCTGACCCCGGGTTTAATCGGAGGTTAAGTGGAGGCCAGCCGGCGGCGCAGTCCGAAGGCACAGGCTCGCTGGTGGGACCCACCGCCAGACCAGCTCTCCGCCGGGCACTGAGGCTGGAGGCAGTGGTCGGTGCCATGTTGATCGGTATGAGCACGGTCTCCCCGCTAAACGGCCCGTTAGTCTTCAGCTCCTCTCCATCCATCCATCCACCCACCCTCCGGGAATACTAAAATCATTGCCGCTGCCTCTCCCAGAGGAAATCAAGGCTTCTCCGAGCACTTGTGGCCACGTGGCCACGGAGTGGGCAGGCTCTGTATCCTCATGGGCGCTCTGGCTTCCCTGCAAAGCACCATCTGTTCAGCTCTTTCTGTGCTGTGGCAGGGCAGTGGGAGGGGACGCTGGAGGGAAAATAAATAATAAAAAAAAAAAAAAAAGAAATTCATCATCTGAACCCTGAGGATTAATGGAGTCGAAGGGTGAACTGCGCTGAATGGAAATTCATCTTCACCCGTGCCAGTGTCAGGGCTGCCGCTCCAGCCCTTGACAAATCGAGGGTCCCAGGGTGCGATAAATCCGGCAGCTGTGCTTCTCCCCAGGGATGTCCCCGGCCCATTCGGGGACATGGGCTGGGACCGCCAGCGGCACCAGACAAGGAAGCCACCTTTCCCCATGCAGGCACCACGTCCCCACCCTGAGGCGGTGCGGCTGCAGCTTCCTTGGCACCCCTGGAAGTCTGCTTTCTGCAGGGCAGCTCTGCAGTCATCCTGGGATGTGCCCCCCAGCCCTTCAGCTCACCCACACCCCCCACCTGTTTCCTCATCAACCCCTTCCCCCCCTTTTTCCCCCTTTTTTTAGTTTTTTCAGTATAAGCTTGAATCACATGTCAAATTTATTTTAATTAAACATTAAACTGCTTGTCCCTTTAGGTCAGTAGAAAACTGCAGAGTAATGCAAAAGACACTCGAATTACTACATTTAACGACAAAAAAGAGTGAGTTGGTTACGCTGTAAAAGCGCCTGAAATATAATTAAAAGCAGTTGCTACCAATGCGAGAGGAAGCTGCCGGCTTCGCGGTCTTGTAAGGCATGTTGGGGATGAGGCAGTTTTCAGCTTCACTAGGATCTGCGTTGCACAGGCTTAGAGGAAAATCCAGGGACTGGGACTTCTGTTGATATCAGCCAAGCCCAGCTCTTCAGTGCTAAGAGAAGTGCCTGGTTCTTTTTTTTTTTTTTAACATTCTTAGGCAAGGTTGGAGAGGGAGCTGAAAGCTGCCAGACTGTCCTCGGGACAGGGACGAGCTCAGGTCAAACTTGATTCTGTCTTGGCAGAGTAAATCGGGGTTGAAAAAATAGTTGCTTGCGGATATATGGGTTAGAAATAACAGTGGTGTGCCGTTACTGGCTGTCCATGGGCACAGGCATGTGCCCCTGGAGCTGGTGCTCAGGGAAAGTCCAGCCAGAAGCTAAAAACCATCCAAATTTTCTGCAAGGAGAAATGATGGATGAAAGCAGGGAGCGAGGCAGTACTGACGATGTCCTGCCTGGGACATGCTGCCTGTGGAGCCCTGGGAGGTTTAGAAGGCAGGTGAGGGGCAGGGGTTTATAAATGTGTAATAAATTATAAATACATTATAAATTCTGGGTACAAAAGCAGGCAGGGAAGGCTTTCCCAGGCAGCACTTTGGGGTTCTCTGAGGTGCTGCAGTAGCACTCGGGGCCCTTGCCGGGGCCTGTCTCCAGTCCTGGAGCATTAGCCGAACTGTGCCCAGGCACCCTGTGCATCGTCTCAGGTGATGCCCTGCAAAGCACCCAGCTCCCAGTGGCACCGTGGCTGGGCTGCGGGCTCAGGGGTGATGGCTGCACCAGTAACACCCTCTCAGGACTGCTGACTTTTCATTGCTTTCATTCTGTCTTTTCTCTTTCCTTTGCACTATTAAATCCAAAGGCAAGTAATACATTGAGTACCAAACACTGCCCCGAAAAATGATCTTCTCTGCCTGGCCAGGTGCTGAGACAGCGTTTCCTGCCTCTGGCACATGCATGAGAAGTGGCCAGCTACAGCGCCGCTCCAGAAACGCCCATCACTGCCGCCTCGGGTCAGGATCCCCAGACTAACCCTTCCCTTTCTCCCTCCAGCTGCTGCCTGCGAGTTTTTGGACATCGTAGAGCTGCTGCTGAAGTCAGGCGCCGACCCCACACTCCGGGACCAGGAGGGCTGCTTGCCAGAGGAGGTGACAGACTGTAAAGCCATCACTTCAGCTCTGCAGCAGCACACCACTGGCAAGACCTAATCCCGCGGCGACGCGTGGCGGGGAGGACAGAGGCACTCCACAATAACCCCCCTTCTCTTCCCCCGCTGCCCTCCGAAACGCCTTGGGGGTTCGAAGGGGAGCTTTTAGAGCACAGGGTCTGGCTGGGCTCTCCAGCACAAGGGTCAGCTGGCCGAGCACGTATCCTGGGCAGGATGGGATCAGGGTTTTGCATGCTCTGACATTTATCAGTATTTGGGGGGGAGGGAGCGAGGGAGGGGAGCAAGGGCCTGGAGAAGGTCCCAAGTATCGTTTTAATGTATTAAACACAAGTATTGCATTGGATGTCTCACCAGAGCAGCCTGTGCTGACTGGTCGGCTCCTCCGTGGGAAGGGGAGGGCTGCTGGGCCAGGTGAGATGCTCATCTCTCCCGTTTGGGTTGAGTTTTGGGTTTGTTTTTTTTTCCCCCCGGGTCCAAACAAAACATTATAAATAAAAGAAAAGCACAGTGTTGGGACAGAGCCTCTGCGTGTTTGTCTTGCAGGGATTGACTTGATTCCTTGGCAACAATAAGGATGGGAGGCAGCACAGAGCTGTTGTAGCCCTTGGAAAGCTCTGCTCAAGCTCTCGTCCTGGGGAGAGAGGGCTACAAAAGCCAGCAGGGTCGTACAGCTGTCTGTCCATCCCTCTAGTTCTCACCTAACATATGTAAGACAAGTGCTTTACGGCTAACCAACCTCTCCAAGCTGAGAGGACTTTTACCATGTCACACAACTGCTTTGCTGAATTAAACAGCATTAAAATCCCACCTCCATCAGCAGCTCCAGGTCCTCCTGTTGGGTGCTGGTCCCTGGGGTGGCTAGTTCAGGGCTGGGGTTTTGTAAGAGCTGGGCATGGGCATAAACCTGCACTCACCCTGTCACCCCTGTGGGCCTGTCTTGGATACTTCATGGTCCTCTCAGCTGGCCAAATACCCAGAACAATGGGAAATTTGTGGCGATACCTCAGGTGTCGGAGTGAGGTGGGATGGGTGCGGGGCTTTCTGCATTCTCATTGGGATCCCCCCTGGGCTGTGCCGGTGGGTTGGCCGTGGTCCAGGGGAGCTGCCGGGGATGGGTTTGTGCTTCGGGCTAATTCCTGGCTGGGAGGGAGGCTGCTGCGTTGGGTGGCAGAGGAGGCCATCGCTTCCCTGTGGGGCATTGCCATGCTGCTTGCTTTTCCCCAGACAAGATTTACAGCCTGGGGAGAGCATAGGAAATCTCCATTGCTCTGACGGGAAGCTACTTGCCATCGAGTCCTTTCTGCAGTGCATCCAGCCTCAGGAAAATAAATGGGAACGTTCCCTCCATTAAGGACTGGCTGAGCAGGAGGCACATGTGGGTTTTGGCCCTGATGGCGGCTTCTGGCTTCTGCCAGCTTTTGCTAACGCTGATGAAGTTTGCTGCACTGGCTTAAACGCCGCCAGCAGCCAAAGCACCACCATGATATGGCTCACACACGCAAGGCACGGGGCAGACTCGGTGGTGGGGATGAAGTGGCTTGGGCCAGTTAACAGGCTGTACGGGCCCTTATATTGACCACGTCAACTTATTTTCCATTAACTTAATATTGGAGGGGTGTGATGGGCTGGGGAGCTGCAGTGGTGGTCTCCATGTTTTTGGAAAAAAAACAGGGCTTTTGGGGACTTTTTCTGAAGTCAGTAGGAAACTTGAGCCTGAAGCCTGTTCCCTCTGAGCCTCCCAAAAAACCTGCCTCCTAGCTGGAGCATGGATGGCAAAAATAAAATACATCTTGTGTACCTGTTTGCAGCCCCTCTGTGTTGAGGGGTGCTTTTGCTGCCCAGTTGTGACAAGGGGCTGGTGAAACGAGCTGGCAACAGGCAGGCCGGGAGCTTGGATGCAGAGATGCATGAAGCAAGCTGCTGATAAACATTAACGCTATGCAACAAATGCCAGGTTTCAACATTTAGGGGCCCTGCCAGTCCCTGTGGGGCAATGCTTATTTGACGGAAGCAACGCAACAGCCCCCTGATCCTCGAGCAAGGACCCACAGTGGCTTCTGCTCTCCCTCACCGTGACAAGAGGACCCACAGGCAGGTTGCACTGCAGCCACAGTGCACAGTCAAAATGCAATGGGTGCCAACAGCAACACCGGTCGCTTTTGCATCTGGCTGCGGATGAAGCAAAGATGCCAACCCCAGTGCTGGGGTGCTACGTACAGAGCTGCTCCGCTGGCTTCGGGATGGGGACATGGTGGCATCAAGGTTAGGGACAAGCGAGGCCACCCTTGTGCAGTGCCACAGTGCACAACCACTGCCTGGCTTGATGGACATGCTGGGTAATAAAAAAAAAATCTCTCTTAAAACAGGGATGAAAAGCAGTAGCCACGATGCCTGTGCTTTCAGAGAGCACATGTGGGGGGCTGAGCACTCAGCCCTGGCAATGTTTATAGCACTTTAGGTCTGTTTGTGAGGTTGGAGCCTTTCCAAAAAAAAAAAAAAAACAGAGAAGGGGGGGGAACCAAACAAGAAAGACATATATCATTGTTTATAATCTGCTTTATTCAGCCAAACCTTTCCCCAGCAGCCTTGCGGATTGCTGTTTAAATCCCTCGGTGCCTTTAACTACCGATACAGAAAGTGGTTAATGTGCATTCGGCCTAAGCTTGGCATCTACTCCAGGAAATCACTTTAATTGAGAAGCATTAAATGTTAAAATGATTAAAATATAGAAAGCCAACACACCGGTGCCCATGGAGGGGCTTGGCCCCCCCCCCCCCCCCCCCCCCCC